AGGCCCAGTCAAAAAATAAATAAATATCTGCTTGGCAGTTCTTACAGCTCATATTGTGCCGTTTCCTTACTATTATATAGAGATGTATTATGCTTTTATGTAAAAGGACATTGAGTCAGGGAGTTTGTGTCAGTTCGTACAGACAAAGTGTATCTTTTTGAATACTGTACCGGACCAGACATAATCTTTGTGTGCTATGAGTTGTATACATGCCTATGTTTATCAGTACCACCTACAAAGGCAACACAATACTTGATCTGATATAAAGATGTGTTATAAAATGAGGAAAATTATCTGTGGCAGCCAATCAGAATTAATTCTGTACTAGCAATTGACAAAATGAAAATGAAAGTTGGAATTTGATGGGCTGACGGTCCTTATGTATGACATTGGTATAATGAGGTTGTTACATACACAGGTATAATGGCACATACAAGAAGAATTAACTACTCGGCTATGTACTATGACTCCATGCCCTGGAAAAGCTAGCTGTTGCTACAAGTCACAATCTGTGCAGAGTATACTGAGAGTTGTAGTTCTGCGGCAGACAGTTACCCATCTGTTATTAATGTACCTCTCTCTGCTCTGCACACCACAAGACGAGCAGCTTTTCTCATCATTGCCACATCATGAAATTAGTACTTTTTAGTCTGCTGCAGGACTCTATAATATCCAGTCCACTAAGATTAAACATAATATCCAGTTCATGTTAATACTAATCATCACACACATACAAGGGATCCATTCAGGAGAAAGTCACCCAGCATCCAGTATACACAAATGGGCTTACCATTGCTGTAGAGCAGCTGCAGTCGGTAGTGTGTGCCGTTGTTGGTCTTCTCATTGCTCAGTTCCTTAGAGATAAAAGTCGTGTTATATTGTTTGTATGGATCTTATATCATTTGTCCATCCTGATCAACTCAAAGCACATCTCTTTCTAAAGAGCTAAGATACTATGCAGCCATCACTTCTAGGATAAAAACCTATCAAGAACAGTATAAATACAATTTAATGTCACACTTATACACAACAGTATCATGATTTATGGTGAACACATATTTCATCTTTGTGATTATATAAAGTCACCTCAATTCTCTGTACTGAATCCGGCTAAATATAGCATTATATTTTCAGGTTATGTTATCAGTCGGTGTTATAAATGAAGGATACTACAGAAGTGAAAGCCCAACTATCCTATCTGTACAAACACTGGATCTATAACTATCACAATAAAAATGTATAAACCTAAACATACTTTACTTTTTTCTTAAAATAGCATTATAGATAGATACATAGATAGATGTTAAATAATAAAGACATATCGATAGATAGATAGATAGATAGATCGATAGATAGATAGATAGATAGATAGATAGATAGATAGATAGATAGATAGATAGATAGATAGATAGATAGATAGATACATACATACATACATATACACATATATACATGTTAAATAAAAAGATAGATAGATAGATAGATAGATAGATAGATAGATAGATAGATAGATAGATAGATATTAGATAGATAGATAGATAGATAGATAGATAGATAGATAGATAGATAGATAATGTGAGCAGTCTCTTACTCCTTAATCTATGTACTAATATATTTGGGGAGATAAGATTTAGGATCATTTATATTCCCTTACATTGTATGAAAACAGAAGACATTGTCTTAAAGTCACACTTTGTTAATGGGATCACAGATGTAACAAATCCAGCATTTCCCCCCGTCAATGTTTCACGCTCAATCAGCTGAACGCACCATTTTATCATAAGACAACACTTGGTGCTCAGTTACTGGCAAAATTATCTCATTAATCATTTTTAATCCCTTGCTTTGAAACGAGGACACGGTAATCAATAGCTCCTACCAAATTAGTGCCTTCCACCCAGTCATTATTTGGTAATGAACACTGGACACCATACTCACAATCAATATGCTTATGTATCCCATCAGGATGGACACTGGGACCACAGACACTACAGAAATGAGGGTCAATAACAGGCAGATGTATAAGGAGATGTCACAGGGAGCCGGGGATGGGTGACATCTTCACTTAATGGAGGAAAGGATGGGGTGTAGGGGGCCGACAAGGACCAGCCAGCACCTGTAGTACTACAAGTCCCACCATTGCCATATAGAATAAACGAGGGGCTGTCTAGTGAGGTCTACAAGCCCTGGAGATTTAGGAGTTGGTTCAGTGTGACCAGATACACTACTCATACATTATATAGGCATATGTGTGTATTATACAAAGTGATAAAAGTGGAGTTCTAGATTTCCACCTCTTGTGTCTCCTTATTGGAGCCATTATATGTCACGGATACTATGCTATAGTGAATTCACTTTGTAAAGTTCATTAACCCTTGTAGAAGGATTCTCTGATTTTCAGGAAATCTATGTATTTCTTTTATTTTTGGAAACTTGGGTACAGTTTATTTTAATGGGCTGAGAAGGATGCAAGGTAAGATATCTATCTGTGCTCCAATGCTCCACCGACCCCCCTGGACCTTCTGAGATCTTCTCTCCAGCTTGGTCACTGGGTGAATGCAGTACATGCGCAGTAAAATATTCATTCTGTTTTCTCTATAGATGATCAGAAGTGATCTTTATAACCTCTATGGGAAGTCCTGTGTGGCATTAACTTCCCCACAAATGAATAGGGCCCAATGGATTGGCCATGTATGGCTATCCTAACATTGGGCTGCTGCCCGTATCCCACAACTATTCGCACAGATAAGTCACTTTAAAGATATTTTTTCTATAAGCATAGCAGTTTTTTTCACCAACCTTCATTATAGTCAACAAAGGAAAATACCTTGACTTTGGAAAAGATCCCGAATAGGAATAACATGGTATATGGGCATAGTGACAAGCATAGCTCAGTAGGGACAGTAGGGACATTGTACATTGCAGAACTGAAGTGTTCTACTTATCAGGGTAGGAGAGTCAAGACATGTGCTGGACACATTCAATACACAAGACATCATAACTGTACACACGTGTGAAAATCACATTATTACATCTAACGCGTGCATAATCCTACAAAACCCCCAGACACAATGCAACACTGCGCAATATACAATCACACTGCCACTGCAGGCATAAAGTTGCCACACGCAACATTGTAGATAATGATGTAAGCCAACGCTCATTTAATAGCAAAAAAAACTCGATGTGTACTAAATTCATCCTTACACGCACATAACCGCACATGTCTAATCCAAACTCTGACTGCACCAAATAAGATTGTGTATAACATAAACTTGTCTAGTGACTGCACTGTAAATTCCTGCTATGTACACCCTATATAACATTATATACAATGTAAACCATCATATCACTGTATATCATGTATAACGCAACATAAAAAAGAATGCATATACTGCAATGTACACCATATATAACACATCGTTCAATGTAAATTAATCAGCCAACTGTACACCATATATAACACAGCGTTCAATGTAAATTCATCAGCTAACTGTACACCATATATAACACTGCGTTCAATGTAAACTCATCAGCCAACTGTACACCATATATAACACTGCGTTCAATGTAAATTCATCAGCCAACTGTACACCATATATAATGCTGTATATTACCTAAAGTATATTCTTTCTGTACATCACGTATAATACTCAACAGTGTAAAGCTAAACAATTCATAAACAAGACAAATCGGTAGACTGCAAATATTTGGTTTTCCCTGCATATTTCCAAGTACATTTACCCAATCTTCAGAGAATTGTACAATTCATTAGCCAAGAATGCCTAGAATCTATCGTACTTCAATAAATAAAAAAACACCCCATCTTATTGTACACTCTATAACTTTCTGGGTATCATACATAACACTGGATATATTATATATACTCCTTCTCTGTACATCATGATACTGGATATAATTTATACTCCTTCTCTAGACATCATACATAACTCTGGATATAAGATATATAAATTTTTTATCTCTGTACATTATACATAACACTGGATATATGTATAGTCATATGTCCAGAGGAGACAGTAAACATCTTATATCATAAAGTTGCTGCAGTGTACAGAGAATGGGTATATATATATATATATATATATAATCTCATAGGTTCAAGTCGATGGACCTGTGTCTTTATTCAGCCTTACCTACTATGTTACTATATGTTGCTTTATTTAATGGAATTAGGATTTCTTAGTGGAAGCCCTGTACAATAATTGGCATTATCAGTACATATAACATTGTACACTGTATACCCCATGTAATAAATGTACGCAGCTTACCTTGTCCTTCTCCACAAAGTCGACGAACGAAGTCCGCTCTATCTCTATGGGCTGTCCCTGTCGGTCGTACAGTGCCAGCACAAAGTGGAAGAAGTTCGATTTACGCAGGTTGGACGGTGGCTGCTTCTCGAAGTGTGCCCGGGACACTGCCACCCCACTGTAAAGGGACAAAGTAGAAGGTTATATGATATACATTGCAGAGCTACAAACCTGTCTACTGCCACCCACCCATATGTGCCCGGTATTACTGCAGATCAGATGCCAGGCCACTCTGCACAGTTGCATTGTTATATACACAATACACTGGCACTTGTGTATATATATATTGGTGCAACTGTGCAGAGTGGCCTGGCATCTGATCTACAGTAATACAGGACATATGGGTGGGTGGCACTGTTCCTTTCAGTGTTTTATATATCAGAGACCATAAAATACAGGGGTACAGGTACTCTTAAAAACAAGATCACACAGGGGCTCGTATACACACATACACAATCACACACATACACACAAAGGTTGAACTTGATGGACCTGTGTCTTTATTCAACCTCAAATACTATGTAACTATATACTTTTCAGTGAAAGAAACAGGTCCATCATCAAGTTATATGATTATGTGACATGATGCCTGACCCATTGCCACCCCTATAATCTGACAATATATACAGACACTGCTCCCAAACTAAATCCTATAAGAAAAGTCCTAAAATAGTAGATTGTGGAAAGTGCAAACTTAGAGCAATGCAAATGTTTTGTCTACTTTTAAAATTAGAATTAGCCAAAAGCATCCCAGATGGGCTCTATAAGTGCTCATAGTAGCCAAGCTGGTGTTCTTGTCACTCAATTATTCAGAGGGTCACTGCAGTCCCAGCTTTCAGGACAATTCTACAATGTATACATATCCTGCACAACTGTGATCTACACACGGCAAGGAGCAAATGTCGCCAGTCGTATAATACAGGAATATACAATAGGCAGGAACTCTGTATAATGCAGCAGCTCACTGCACAGTGCCAGTGTAATGGGTGTAATTATAATAATAGGTAAATCACCACTTGCACTAGTCCCCCTTATAATCATTTACCTGCTGCACTCTATGTAACAAAACCACAACATGCCATTCTAAGAACTGCAAACCACTGTACAAAGCACTAGTATTAAACCATCAATGTCCTGCTACATACTAATAGGAGCAATTCTGAGGATATTGCCTGTTGTGGATCGCTGGCACTCACTGCAGGCTTCACCTGAGCAATTATATGAAGAGTCAATCAATAGTGTTCCAGACGCTGCCAGGATAGTGCACGGAGGGTGTCATAAACATGCATGAAAAGTAGATCTAAGGAGCTGACTGCTATCGGGAACCTATACCATGGCGCTGCGCATGCAGCACTGCAAAAGGGGACCGGATTCTCTGATTACCCTGCACCATCCTGGACACTAATTTGATTTATTTCCTAATCCTCAAACTGTCCAATACCATATGCCAGATCCCTACTGCTCACCTCTGTACACCTACAGGGAGCAATGTACTACCCCAGAGCAAATAGAGAGCGCCTGTGTACCCTGCATTCAGGATAGAAGTGGTTTTATATTGTATATATTATATATAGTTCTCTATGCACACACCTTTTTTATACAAATAATATAAATATAAAGTACTCGTATGCGTGTGTGTATATATATATATACACACACATATTTTACAAAATACAAAGTAATAAAGTAATTTGATAGATAGATAGATAGATAGATAGATAGATAGATAGATAGATAGATAGATAGATAGATAGATAGATATTCGGCTCCTTCTGTATCATTTTGCGAAATTATTTCTCCCCCTATTTGTTCCCGTTAATAATAATAATATGTGCAGAACAGGAACTCTGTAACTATTCTTAATTTATTTGATGTGTTTGGATGGAGTCCGAACCGAGGAATTTATTCTTATCTCTGTGCAGTGACTTTAACTACACCCAGAACTACCGAATCTGCCAAAATTAAGGCAGGAATATGTGAACTTGGCAAACTTTTTTCCGCACTCCCTCCATTACACACATAACTGATGACTATGTGCTGCCTTAGACAGTTATATAAACTCAATTACAATTTAACAAATTGTAGTTTTCTTTTGTTATTTTAAACTTTTTCGTTTTAGAATTGTCTAAGTTCTTACTAGTAAAGTCTCTTATCAGAATAATTGTCGGAACGAATATGATACGTTTCTAGATATGATTGTAATTTTTTATTTTTTATTAAATAAACGTTCTAACATTGTGGAGTTTTCCCACATTTGTGAATACGATGTGAATCTCTGCACCGGGTTGTACGAAGTCTACAGACAGAACGAACTTTCCGTGGCATTGATGGTCTGGACTCCTCATTTATTAGAATCCGGACAACTGTAGACCGGAAAGTGTTGAAGTGGTGGCGATGTGTGTCGGAGAGTCATGACACTGGAGCTGGTAGGTTGTACAGGGATAGGATCGGTTTGTGCATGTGCCGGATGGGTGTTGTAGTGCAGCTGATGATGTGTATGAATATATAGTGTGCATTAGGTGCACATTTGTACCCTATACAGCACTACTCTATACAATGACGGCTACTTCTATACAGCACTAATTACTGCTCTATTCAGGCCAGTGACGGGACCACAAGTCCCAGCATGCACACATGGAGTTTCTGGCTGGGTACCCTTTGAGTGCCATCTTTGGACACATGCTCCCTGCCCAGGGAAAGCCCTCACTTCCATTCTGAGCATCTGTACCCTGCCTGCAGTAAGAAAGTTGCATTGCCCTGTAATTGCCCCCCCAGCACTCCTCTGTGCCCTTGCACTGCCCATCTTACCTCTGAGCGGCCACCTTGGCATCCACAACTCCAACATTCCTCACCCAGGACCGGACAGAATCCATGCCAGCTGCCAATGCTTTGTCTCTCAGGATAGGTCCTCCTCTTCCTAAAGTGTCCTGGACCCCAAACATGGAAAACTGGCACACCGAATTTAGGGACGTCCCAGTATCCTCCACATACAGCCTCTCGCCCCCCCTCTGTCACCTGCTCACCAGCCGCAGGGTGACCCTGGATCTTCTAACCCTCTGTATGCACTGAGACAGCATCAACCCAGAGCATGAATGAGTCCCACGGGGGGAGTGGCTTCCCGTGCATCTCTCCTCTCATTGGTCGGCTGCTGGCACCGGACACTTCCCACTGGCTGAGCAATTAACCCTCTCACAGCTGCCTCAGCATCACTATCATCACTCGCACAGCGGAGGGCAGCTGGAGCTGAGGATGAGACGAGTACCAGTATAGGAACATGTCTCCCCAGATCTATAAGGGGATGGGATTGGGGGGTGATATACTATAGGAGTCATGTCTACTGTACCCTGCAATCACTTCAACCAGCCAATCAGGTGCAGGGGATTGTCCCCCTAAAAAGTAGAACATTGCACCTAAATCTGATTAGGTATCTAAAATGGGGGATAATTACTTTTTAGCCCTTTTGCAGCAACGTTTATCTCTCTATCTATCGATATAGAAGGATAGATAGATAGATAGATAGATAGATAGATAGATAGATGGATGGATGGATGGATAGATAGACAGATCACACTATGAACTGTGCAGCATACAATACTATTGAATACAAATCAGGGATTGATTATTAAATGCAAACTGCAATGGGGGGAATTTATCAAACCTGGAGCAGACAGAATCTGGAGCAGTTGCCCATGGCAACCAATCAGCTTCTCTCTTCAGTTTGCTTAGGTAAGATTTGAAAATGAGAGAGAATTGCTGATTGGCTGCAGTGCAACTCTGCTTCAGATTTTGTCTGCTCCAGTTTTGATAAATCCCCCCCAATGAGTATAGAACAACCTCAGAGCAGCCAATCATCTTCTGTTTCATGTCATCTGTAACCTGAAATCTGATCTGGTTCTGCACTTTGCTTTCAATCATTCCATTTATCTTGTTAAACAAGTTTAAAGTGCACGCACACACAATCACTAAGATCTCATATCAGCTTTAACAAGTAAATGTAATCATAAAAGTCATTCTAAATTTGCAGCTTTCCTTACAATAGTATGTGGTGATCCTGCAAGGGTGACAACGCTCTGTCCCTGTCTCCAATATGTGCTCCTGTGTTGTGACCCTACTAAGCTATCACATGCCTGATGAAGAAGTCTTTGAAAGCCTCAAAACATTGCACCTGTGATATGATCGCTTTGATTCAGTGTTTGGACTATTGATTATGGATCCATGGTGTGCTGGTGACATGTGTTTTCTTCTGCGTTGTCACACTGTCACATCTGCCTTCTGAGGGATGAGGTTGGGGTTTGAGGCAAAACCTGCAGGTAAATGTAATTATAAAAGTCCTTTTACAACATTTTTACATTTGAAGCTTTCATCAAAATAATACACGGCGGACCTGCAAGGGTGACAACGCTCTGTTCCTGTCTCCAAAATGTGCTCCTGCGTTGTCACCCTCCTGAGCTATCACGTGCCTGCCGAAGAGGTCTTTCAAAGACTCAAAACATTGCCCCTGTGCTATGATCGCTTTGATTAGGGGGCCCATTCACACAAGATCCGTTGCATTGCCATGCGCTTTTCAACAGATGCTAAAGGAACCAAAAAATGAGCGCTGCGTTCAGTTGCATTACGTTAGGTTGCACTGGAAAAGAAAAGTGGAACATGCACTGCTTTTTTTTTTCAGCGCAGCATAACGCAACGGTTCCGGTGAGAGCTACACCCATTCACCCCCATTCACCCCCATTCACCCCTATTCACACGCATTCACACCCATTCACCCCCATTCATCCCAATTCTCCCCCATTCACACCCATTCATTTTTCAGTGTCCTTCCCTTAGCATCTGTTGAAGAACAGATCACAACACAATGGATCGGAAGGAAATCGGAAGGTTCAAATGCAAGTCAACAGACCCTCCATTGACTTGTGATTTCCTTTCTGATTTTGGTGTGAATGGGCCCAGTGGCGTCACAAGGGGGGTACGGCCCGCACCCGGGTGACACCATTGAGAGAGCCCGACAGTGTCAGGAGAGAGGAGGGGACCCGGCAACATACCTCATCCCACCGGGTGAACGTCCCCTCCTCTCTCAGCCGGCTTCCATCAACAAGATGGCCGCCGGCAGGCGTCAATAAGACGACCGCGCATGTGCGATGACGTCACGGCAGGGGGTTACCCGGTCTCCGCTCCCGGTGACACCCAGCTTCGGGATGCCCCTGAATGGGTCCTAGATGTTTGGATTATTGATTATGGATTAAGGGCATACTGGCACCCTTATGTTTTCTTCTGCGTTGTCACCCGGTCACATAGCCGCCTGGAGGGGACTATAGGGACGAGGTTCTGGCTTCACTGCTTCCAGGGGTTTGAGGTAAATCCTGAAGCAACGAAAAAAACAATACCGGCGCCTCTGGTTGCAAGATGGGCTGGTTGTGAAGTTGGCTTAAACACTCAAAAGGCAGCTCTCACTGGTCAAAAAGACCATCGATTTAGGAAACAAGGGACAAGACAGAGCGCCTCCATAGTGTAAAAGTGTAATTTATTTGTACAACCCTGAGCTCTAAAGGTCGTCCTTGACCTTTAGAACTCAAGGGGGCAGAGGATGCTGATGGCCTGTACTCCTTCAGACTTCCGCTGCTAGAGATTTTATACTTCATCACCATTTGTATGCTTTTAACCACCGACTTTCCTGTAAGTACACTTTCATTTGCGTGTTGTACAAATAAACTACCCTTTTACACTATGGAGGCGCTCTGCCTTGTCCCTTGTTTCCTAAATCCTGAAGGTTTGAGATTCCCATTCCGATCAGATTCACACAAGACATACTTTTAAACTAGGAATGCTCCGATACCGGTTTTTCGGTATCGAGTACCGATATTGTTTTTTGGTACTCGCCGATACCGAATACTGATACAAGAAGTCCCATTAAGGAAGCCAGGTGGCATGTAAAGACTTGCCACCCGGCTTCCTGAATAGCAGGGAAGCCATCCCCATGCTTCTCGTCACTATGTGACGAGAAAGCATGGAGCCGGCTTTCTGGCCAATCGCCGTGTAGCTGTCACAGGTCGGCTCTATTGATCGGGAAGTGAGCAGAAACATGCGCCGATCTGCTCGCTTCCCGATTGTCTCCCTACAGTGAGCGGTGACTGTGAGTCCCCCCTCTTTTCTCCGATCCTCCAGCGCTGAGTGGAGGAACGAAAGGGGGAGGGGAGGGCACAGCTACATAGGTAGAGCCGGCTGTCACTCATGCAGCTGGGTGGATCTCGACAGTATTGTCGGGATCCGTCCCGGCTGCGGCGCTGTCAGTATTGCCCGCAGTATACTGAGCTTTGGGTCATGGGAGGAGGTTAGTATACGTCCTCCCGTGACCCTAAAGAGAACTATGGGGAAAAACACTTACCTCCTACCGGTAGTTCTCCTTTAATTCTTGTAGTAAAATCTCAGCCTGAGCTCTTTGTCTCTAGTAAATGTTTGCCTATTATTCCTGTCCTGCTGCTGGCCAATTTTATATTGCTGTATCATCAGCAGTATCATAATTGTTAAGTAGAACTTGATAGAAATTGGCCAGCAGCAGGACAGTTTTGCATTAGCGAGAACAGGGACAGCCACAGTGAACTACTGGCCAATTTCTATCAAGTGGGTCAAATCGTGCCCCTTACATTTTGATGAAAAAAAGGCGAAATCCATCAGATGAAGGTGTGTAAGCCAAGCCGATTGTAAAAGCAGACAATCAACTCCACAGCCAAATAGGCCAGTTTGCTCTCTCTCCTGGACTGTCCGTGGAAATCATACTGTTAGGTAGCATCACAAACACCTTTAACCCTTTCGTTGCCACCGACTTAAGGCTTACATCACTGACAGCGAGCCATTTACACAGACTCTGTTTACATTTGTAGAGCCGGCTGCCGGCTTTACAATGGAACCAATTCTGGTGGCTCAGCTCCTGCCAGATCGCTTTCACAGGCCGGTAAAGTGCCCGCTCCCACCCGCCCGATACCCGGCATGTCGGGTGGCGGCGGGAAGCAGGGGAGGAGAGCGGCCAACTTCCATTCACGATCTCCTCCCCACACTATGGGGTCTATTCACGAAGCTGCCGAAGGATCTGGCCGTAGCTTCGGCCCCAGGACCCCTTCGGTTCAGTAGAACCGAAGGGGTGCTGTATGGGCTATTCACAATAGCCAGTACAGCTCCTGATCAAGGCCGAGCGGCTCAGTCGAGCCGAACACATATGCATCGGCTCGGCTGAGCCGTGCAGAAAGCCGAAGCTGGCCGAGCTTCTGACAGCTGAGTGGAGCCAGCCGTGATCTTACGGCTGGCTCCGGCCACTTTCAGAGAAATCAGTGCCCCTGGTTACCTGCTAACCAGGGGCACTGAGCTCCAAACAGCTAACTCTCCCTGGCGGCCCGGGAGTCTCCTGCTCCCGGCCGCCAAGGAGAGAAACACAGCTGTGTCTTTTTTTCTTTATTCTGACACGAGCGATGTCAGAATAGAGAAAAAAAAAAGAAAAGAATTTTCCAATAGAAAAGCATTGGGACATTCCTATTGGCTATTTCAATTTGCAATAGCCAATAGTAAACTAGCATTGTACCCGCCCTCTGCTGTAGTTCCCCATCAGGTCCATCAGCAGAGGGCGGGTACACCAATATGCTTGTACCCCCTATGTGATAGCAATTAACGCAACGTAAGAAAAAAAAAACAGTTTTCAAAAATATTAAATAAAATAAATGTAAAAATGATATAAATTTTTTTTAAAAGTCCCCCTACCCTGCGAGCATGTGGGCATTCAGGTAAACATGCGTTGGGTGCGCCTATGTACGAAAACAACAATCGCGTCACACGTGTTGGGTATCGCAGCGCACTCCATAGTTACATAGTTAATCAGGTTGAAAAAAGACACATGTCCATCGAGTTCAATGCCAGTGTGAAAGCAATAATTCTAGGGCCAATATTTATGTGTATCTCTAAACTTATAAGCAAGCCCGACCCTAGGAAGCACTATGCAGTCATTGCTGCAGTCAGTGG